CACCATATTTTTACATGTCATATTGGCATAAATTGAATTTCTATTGTTTAAAAGCATGTTCATTTGTCGAATCTTCTTTTTTAAAGTTGAAAAGTTTTGTTAATATGCAAAATATCTAAATTATATATGCATTCATTAATTTTTTTCAGCTTAGTCCCTTAGTTATCACGGGTCACCACAGCAGAATGAATCATTAACTATTCCAGCATATGTTTTACGCGTCGGATGCCCTTCCAGCCGAAATCCAGTACTGGGAAACATCCATACACTCTTAAATTCACATGCACTCATACACTACGGCCAATTTTGTTTACCCAATTCACCGATACCGCATGTCTTTGGATTGTGGAGTAATATATATTACTCTATTACTGTGTTTCTCTGAATTAATTTAAATAGAACTGCTACAGTATTGCAAGTAACTGTAACTGTGTGCGTGTGCATGCCTACTACTCTTACTTTGTTGTACACATGCATAAATGTGAATTCAATGGGGATGTTATAGCAGAACAATATTGAACGTATTTCAGTTTTCTGCCTGTAGACATTGACTCTGATCAATATTATAGTTCCAGGCTTTTTTGCGGCTCCATTTCAATTTGTTCTTGATCATAAAACAGGACTTTATATGTGGAGAACAGTATGACCTGGGCCACCCTCAGCTCTAAAAATATCAAATATTCACGTTATTGCTGTTTCTGAAATAATACCGTGATTTCATGCTCCCTGAGAGAGTGTTTTACTGTATAAGGTTCGGCATGAGTTCAGACAGAGCTGTATTATCTGTTCTGAAATGAGAGATGAGGGGATTGTTTTATTTTACTTCCATTTTTATAAAATACAAAAGAAAAAAAAAAAAACACTTGAAGGGAAAGGGAGCTGAAGAAATTATGTTTCATCCGGCTCAATGAGCTTTAATCAAAAAGCATACAATGCAGACTATTCAAGAGATGAATCCAGAACAATCCTGGAAAGCATAGAACATCTCCAATATACTCATAAATAATCCCACCATAACAAAAGACTCTAAAATCCATGGTTCTAAAAACACAACTGCAGACAAAGCCTGCCTGATGAAAAATGAGCACTTGCGATGAATAATTCCATCGTTCCACAATTCATGCCGAAATTTTTGTAGGTTTAATTCCCTTAATGAAGATTTCATTCCTGAAAAAAGTTAACACAGACTTCTTGTTTGATCTGTGTCTGATAGGCTGCCATGATGCAAAGACATGGAAAAAAATAGGTTATTTAATACAACGATGTGTATGAAGGAAACACTCTGGAGAAAAAAAAGTAGGGTGAAGAAAAATAAGTCTCTACTTTCATCATCCCAGTGGATGTAATGTGTGAAGCTCTTTTTATATGAGCCGTGCTTTAAATTCTCAAGATGTCCAATTACATCTGCTGTTGTTCTGCCCTTTTACTCAACAGCTGACCATCTTCACACTCTGTTACTCTCTGACTCGTGGGTTTTTCTCTTTATTTGATGTTTTAAATTTGAATAGGAATAAATCGGTGGTATAAATGACGTACACACACACACACACACACACACACACACACACACACACACACACACACACTCAATATTCAGTTACTTAACACTGCTATGTGTGCTCAAACCAGGGGGGATTTAACCAATAAGCGAGGTAAACAGCCACTACAGATCAAAATCATCTGAGTAATTTAATAAATTACATTTGGTTCATTAATTAATAACAATAACTAAATTAAGTTATTACTACTCAGGTTAATGAGACAATGAAAGTATAAACTAGGTGATGATTGAGGACTGAAGCTGCAGTCACAATAGAATTTGAGCTTGCGAAATTCTGTTGTATGGTGCTGCGAAAAGGGGCGGGATTAAACGATAGTTATACATTAAAAAAGCAAGCGATTGGTCCATATTTTAAGTTTCTGTCCAAAGAGGTCATATTTTAATCCTCGATTGGTCTCACGCAGTCAAGTGATGCATTTTTTTTTTTTTTTTTGCAAAATAGCGAACTGTGAAACTTATCGCACAAGCTTGCATTTCCTATCTTACGCATTCACGTGCGTATGAATGGAAGTCTATGGGGAGAAAAGTCCAGTGTGACCGCTGCTTTATGATGAACACCTGCTGTTGTTAAGTAGAAACACAGAAGAGAAACACAAAACTACATATAACCTCAGTCACAGACTTAGATGAAATCAGCTGAAATATTTTACTTTGAATCTCTCAAAATCTCAGCAGAGGATCAAGTCGATCAATAAGCAACTCCACAAACAGCAGATTTACTTGTTACTAGCCTGTTTGCCCTTATTTAAAGAGGGACCAAATACTCTGTGAACTGAGTAAATTTTACTCAGGATTTTGTTGTGTAGGGTCCCGGGGAATAAGGGGGCCCCGACCAATGCCATGAAGCTTATATTAAACTTATAATATGTTGTAAAATGTGTCTTTAACTGTTCAGATTTTAACTTTATTAATTCTTTTCAAAACCAGGGGGCCATGAATAATGGAAAATTCCTCCCATACTGGACATGCGTGAGGTGTGAGCGCTTCTAAGATGCTACCAGTGCCAGTCTGTTGCCAGTAATCAGAGTAGAGCAGAGGTAGAGGTAGGTAGAGTGTGCAGGAGTGAGAATTTTAAGAACATTTTGGGAAAAAAGTAGAAATAAAAAGAGTAAGAATAGGTACACCCCTCACAATTCTCTCTTTTAAATTCATATTTTTAATGGGAAGCTATACAATATTATATTTGTGCATATACAATATTATATATCGTACATTAGATTAGTCAGTACTGAAGCCAAATCTGGAGCTTATCTAAGAAAATAACTTATGATAACGGTCCAAAAACTAGTACACCCAAATATATGTTATAGAAAAATATTAAATACACATTTGAAAATTAAGAGAAGCTATTTTTTTTTAAATATTTAATTGAAAATGTTTAGGTTTAAGTTTTTTTTATTAAATTTGATTATATTCTTTTTAATTTCTAAATGTGTTTAGTGACTAAATATTATTTTAATAAATATATATGTTTAATATATTTGTTTCATTGCAATGTATCAAAATACATTGCCTAAAGTCACTGAGAAATGGATAAAAACATTTATTTTCAAAATTGGGATCACTCGGTTATGCTGAGCACTGTGACACCGCGATTCTGCTCTCTGGCTGAAACACCTGTCAGATGATGACCGCTGTGTGTTTGTAAAGTGATCAAAAATCGATCAAATAATATAAAATATCCTATTGAAAAATAACGATGGCCAATTTACAAACAGCAATTATTCAATTCATATGAAAAATGGTGACAAGTTTGATTGATTGTAAATTAAATTTGTTTACATTTTTTGATTATTTATATTAAAATCTAATCACAAAAATGGCCAATTAACCATACATAGTTTGTGAAACTGTTTTTTATTTGTGATTTTTTTATTGCATATAACTTCTAAATATTAAAATATTTAATATACTTTAAATATTATATATACTTTTTTATATTTATTCATTTAAATGCTTTTTAACATGCATTTTATTTAAAGAAAAATTAAAATAAAACTAATCTACAGAAAAAAAAGAAAAAAACATATATATATATATATATATATATATATATATATATATATATATATATATATATATATATATATATATACATACATACAAAAGAGAACAATTTGAGTGTCAATGCTAGGGCCCCATACTTGGAATTGCTTAGGGCCCCCAAATCACTAAGTCTGCCATAAACACAAAACAAACTGCTATTGATTTGTTTGAAACTATTTTCAAAATAGACATAAACACTCAAGTTGTAACAAAGTTTTTTATAAATAAATGTTTATTATTTTCCTGTTGCTTTTAAAATCAATTATTATAAATGTTTGCAATTAGTTAATAATCATTATGTCAACATTTTTCACGGATAGTTCCAGTTTTTTTTTTTCTGTCCTGTCCTGTCCCTGTGTTATAGTTATAGACTATTAAGAGTTATAGCACGTTTGAAACCTCAAAAGCCAAAGGTATGGTGTAATCATTTTCGCCAATAGAGGGGGCTGATTGATACACTGATTACCTGGTCACGCGTTTATATTTTTCCGTGAAGGACTGAACCTGAACGTGAACGCTATCAAAACAGACATCTTCAAGGTTGTAACATGCTGCCTATTCACTTTAAATCTAATTAATACTGTCCGTGTGTACTTTTATAACACGTCTAAACAGCACGTGTGATTGCTTTGCCCGTAATTGTCAATGTTGTCATAAGTCATAACGCAATTCCAAACAAACATCCTATCATGTGTGGATTTAAGTACACCAATATAAACATATAATCAGTTAAATGAGTGAAGCTGCACTATTATATTTGCAAAAGTGCCTCGAATAATGAAGTCCATACAAAATGAACAGTTCTAAAAGTATAAACATAAGACCCATTTTAGTTACTGTAGGCTACACCCAAACTTGTCAGTCAGAATGTTTCAGTTTTGATTACTGTTTCAGTTATCATTTTCCTGTGTAAAGATAGATAGATAGATAGATAGATAGATAGATAGATAGATATAGATAGATAGATAGATAGATAGATAGATAGATAGATAGATAGATAGATGGATAGATAAGGGGATAATCAAATATTTATCGCAAGTAATTTACATTTCTTTAAAGTTTAATTTTTAAGCGGTTGAAGCTGTTAAATATAACTTAAATTTTTTTATTTTAATGCCATGAAACAATTGAAATACCACACAAAAATAACTGGACCGATTTGAGTTGCTTATCTCAAATTAATATGCAACACTTCAGTGGCCATGAAATAAACAACACAAGATGCCAAGAGAGTGACCTTGGCTGGTCCACTGAAATAATTGGACTAAATGAAAGCATTATGATTTATTATTAACACACCTGATATTATTATCAAAGTCTTTAACCTCTTCAAACCAGCAAGATAAATTGATGACCACACAGCAGCTGTGTTCCAAAAGTAACTGTGTTTTACCTGATGGCAGATCTCGTGCACTACAACCATGGTGAGCTCCATCTGATAGGAGAAGGAGGAGACGTCAGGATCCAGTAAGATCTTCTGCTCCACAAACACACTGAGGCCCCAGTTCTCCATGGCTGCATACGGATGTTTTGGCACTGCCAGCAGATCTACACGCACACACAGAGACCAAAAGCCAAGATCAATGATGGGGAACCACAATTGGGAAACAAAGTAAACAGCAAGTAAGCATTTGGAAAAATATTTCGCAAACAGCAGCTGGTCATTTTACAAAAGTGTAAATAATGACAGCAGTTTTTGCACACTGTTATCGTTTACTCTCGTTTAAATGGATGGCTTAGTAATGCAGGTAGCAGTTACTCCGCTTTAAGTTTGCATTCACATCTTTTTTTTTGAAAATTCTTGAACATTCTCTTAATATTATAAAAAGTACTGACAAAACATCATTCATTCATTTTCTTTTTGGCTTAGTCCTTTTATTAATCAGGGGTCTCCAAAGCGGAATGAACCGCCAACTTATCCATTTTTCAACATTATTATATTTAATACTCTTTTTTTTCATGACCGGATATAGTATTATATTTCTAAATATAGCTATTTATAAAACAGTTTTTTCTAATTCTACAAACTGATTGGCTTATAGCTGTATTGACGAGAGGGGTCTGGATGCAGATCTGCAATGCTATTTAATGGGCTCACCTAACCCCAACCCTACCCCTCACCGTGACGTTACTAGCTCCATTGAGTGCATTGTGTCTGACATTGAATCACTGAGAGAGGCAATCTCAGCTTGCATCATAAAGGCTGCATCCATATACCATTGGAATTGGCAGACACTTATTTAGGACACTGATGCATGCCTTTAGAGTAGTCTATTGTGAAATGTAATTTGTTCAGGCTATACTGAAAAGAAATATTTGGTCGCAGTCATCTGTTAAGAGCAAATAAATTTGACTGCAATGTTAACTTTAGGTTTGTATAAATAATGCTGGAAGAAAACTTTTACTACTTTGCATCTTTATATTGTTGTTTGTTAAATATAATTGCTCAATAATGACATTTGATATAAAAGTGTGATTGGTGGTTGATGTTACATTTTTTTTAACCATTAGATGGCAACATACACCTTAAATTAATTAGTCATTTAGTTCAAGCTGAGTCATCCGCTTTGGATGTTATCACTCGATTGAATGGGCGTTATAAGTGGTTATCAACTGATAGATATAGGCCAGCTTTTATCAGCTATCCACATGGTCAATCAGCTATACTAATAGAGAAGACTTCAGATCCAGATCTGTTTTACATTACTGTGACGGTTGGGTTTAGGGTTTGGAGTTGGGGTAGATGTTAATTTAACACAATTAATAGGAAATTTAGTAAATAATATAAATAATTCTCACTAACTTTCAGCCACAGTCATATGTGATCTATAGCTGATTAACCATGTGAAATCTTTAAAGCTTATATAAATATTATAACCACAAGCATGAGGACAAAAAAATAATGTAAATAATACTAAATAATATTAATAAAATAATAATAATAATATAATACAAGATATCACAGTTTTACTCCTATAGTGTGTTGTGTTCCACAATGTGACAGAGATAACACAGCACACACTAGATCACACACACTATCAGATTTTCAACTAGACCTTAGGATGACCATGGAGGAAGATTAAGATCAACATGTTGATTATTTGCTATTCACGATTGAAGGGCCTCTGATATTCTACTGAGCAGATTTGATCACTCGTCACACACCTTACACCACGGGAGAACCTAACAAGTTCAACCAGCACAATCAGAAAATTAAATAGGATTAAAAATCTAATGTTTTTTCATGTATAATAAATATCATAATATATTTAGGTGAAGGGAGTGAACAGAGTGATAGTGTATTAAATCCCAAATACCCCCTCTACATGTATCTCCTGATGAAAAACTTCTAAATGAAAGGAACTGAACATTTAATTTGCAACCAATAGTAATATGACACTTAATCTCATACCTTGCTCATTCATAATTAGTTTTTATTTGAAATAGACAAATTGTTTTAATGTTAATCCATTATTAATGGGAGCTCAATCAAATCCTAGATATCACATGATGTAGAGTTGTCCTTACTGTATCTAAAATGCATTGATTGCATTTTGAGCCAAAATCAGATATAGCAGAACAGCAAGACACAAGACACTTGTTAATCATATTTCCCCCCAAATGTCTGTTTTCTTGAAGTCAGTGTATCAGTGACACAGCAGACGCAGATCAGCTGTTTAAACGCCTCCTCCTCCAACAGTTCGACTCTGAAAGCTTTCATATGCCAATGAGAACAGAAGCAGCTCAACCTCTGGCGCTGTTAAATCCACATCTTATACTCAGTCGGAGGAAGAGGAACTGTTGAAAGCTGTAACATGATTATCCGGCGGGCTGCTGTGTGTCTTATTTGCATGTTTGGTGAATGTGTCTGAAAGCAGTCTTAGAGTTTAAGAGGGAAGCTGCGATCTTTGTGGCCACTAATATTACATCTGCAGGGACGTGGTGGAAGAATATGCTTTAATGATGAACAGAAAGTCAGACGCTTCACTGATAATGAGAAATCCCCATTAGGATTGTACATTCACACACGATTAATGTTTTACCTTTACAGAGATGAAGATGGAGTGACGAGCTCATTCAAGAGACAAAGAACAATGAAAAAAGCAACGCAAAGGTGAGAGACTGAAAGAGCTGCTCTAATAAATTACTTTAGCGAGTAAATCAGAATCAGCCAGTGCAGGTTTAATTGGCCATTTTTAATGCGCTTTATGGATGAGAAACTTGATGCTCTTTTAATTGGGCTTTTATACAGACTCTTGCTGCTATTAGAGAAAGACAGAAGTACAGTACCATGGATTGAGATGTTTACCAAGCATGAACCAAAGGATCTTGACACCTCATTGGCCACATCCAGTTGTATGGGTAAGTTAATATGATTATCTATTAGTAAATAATGTAAAATTTTGGGTGAGTAAAACAGAAAGTCTGAACAAATGAGTTACCTACAGTCATTAAGATGATATTTAACAAATATTACCGAAATATCGCAGGATTTGTGTATAAAGTACTTAATGGCATGTGATTGCTTAACTAAAAAAATTAAAATAAAGTAAATAAATAAACAACAGAAAAAGCCATAGCAGAGTAACACACACAGTTGTTTTAAATGAATTGGTTGATTAAATAATTCAATGACTTACTCATAATTATTACTAAATTGTGTATGATCGATTTAACGTATGAAGCTGATTGGTTGATTCTTGTCATGCGACGTGGTGTGCTTATGGCATTTGAAAAAAGTTGAGAACTGAAACTATAAAGTTGAGTACATGTGCAATTAAGTAGAACTGGCAAAATGTCTAATACACATAATGAGCTGCCTTGTTTTGTAGCACCGGATATACAAAAGATGTATAAAAGTTCTTGAATCCCATTGACATCCACAATATTTTGGTATTGCCATAAGTCTGCTATTTAAAACAAAGCAAGAGCACTAGATAGTATGCATATGTTTGAAAGAGTGTGCAACTCTGTATCGCGCAATTTGCTCAGGTCACTTTTTTGGCTTTTATGTGAACACTTTGTTTGATTTAATTCTTACAGAAACAAAAAGTGTCCATGTAAGTGTACCCTAGTAATTTCGGCTATATAGGGTACCACTCATGTATCTCCAAGAATAACAAAGTGGTGTGATGTACTAGTATTCCACATCCATACGTCAACTGTTTCCAAAATTCTCCACCAGACAAGTTGAACTAAAGAACATGGATCAGTTTGTTTAACAATCAAGTAAATCATTCAATAGAAATAAAGGGCTCTATTTTGACGATCTAGGTGCAAAGTCCAAAGCTCAGGGCGCAAAAGCATTAAGGATGTGTCAGAATCCTCTTTTGCTATTATATTAAGGATATTAAGGACAGAAAAATATACTTTGCGCCACAGCGCATGGTCTAGCAGGGTTGAGCTTATTCTCTCAGTAAATTATAGGTGTGTTTTGCGAATAAAACCAATCAGAGTCTCATCTTCCAATCCCTTTAAGTGTCAGTTGTGTTGTGCCATGGCACATGTGCTATTTACATGGCGGACTTTGTAAGTAGAAAAACGGAACGCTTTACTAGTGGGAAAACAGTTAAACAGACCATCTGCAGCGCGAGAATGAGAGAATGTGCCTCCTTATTCTTTACTTTCAGTTTCACTCTTTCGTGGATAAGGAAATGTGTTGTACGCACAGACATCCAGTAGCCTAGATAATTAAATTGGTTTGTTAAGCGCAAAGATTTGTTTCAAAACTATTTCTAAATTCTGTTCTAATTTCCAGCAAACGAATAAATGAACAGTAATAACGAAGTGTGGTCAAGTTATATCCAAACACATATGCAAAGCCCCTATGGTCTAAAACCTGACAAGTGGACAAATCTTAGTTTGTTTTCAATAAAACTAATAAAATATAAATATACATATAATAAATAATACTGGTAATAATAATAACATTATAAAAAAAGCAAATTGTCATGAATAAACTGAAAAAGCCCCATGAGATGAAGAAGGCATGAAAGCAGGGGTTTTTATATTTATGTAGAAAATAATAATTTTTGTATTATTGTAATTCTTTAATTCTTTTTCATTTGTAAAGATATTTGCATATTGCTTTACATCCTGTGTGTATTAAGCAATGTGTAAGTGATGCGCACAACTAACGTGCTCTGCACTAGACTTTAAACTTGCTCTGAGCTGGGCTTTTGTGCAGTCTGTTTTTGTTCTTCAAAATAGCAACGCACCAGCAATGCACCTTAACACACCTCCTTTTTTAGAGCAGAATGCCTATGGGCGCAATTATGAGCACAAATGCATTTGCTATTCAAACAGCTTGCTGCAAAACCTCAAAATGATTCTTGCGTCCATCTGAAACCAGCAAACAATAATTGCGTCGTGCCTTGCGCCACATTGCGACGGGTGTATGATAGGGCCCAATGACTTTGTGTAAATCGCTGCAAATAGCTGTAAAGAGATCACGTGTGAACTTGCAGCTTGTTCCTGCAATTTTCCAGAAAGACAAGTTACATTACCAGCCTATTGACGGAACTCTGCTGTGCTGGATTGCAAAAGGA